TTGCTCAGGCTGGTTTCAAAATCCTGAGCTCAAACAATCCGCCCGTCTCGGCCTCCCAGAGTGCTAGGATTACAGGCGTGAGCCACCGCGCCCGGCCTGCGACAAATATTTAGTGAGTACCTACAGTGTTCCAGGCCCTTCTAAAGGCTAGGGATGGAGCAGTGAACATAGATGGGTAGATAGAAAGATAGAAAACAAGACACTGGCCTTGCTTGATGGTGTGGTAGCAGGGGAAGAGTGCTAGGGAGAAAACCAGGCAGAGCAAAGGGAATTGGCTATCCTGGGCCTGGGGAGGGTTTTTTTTTTTTTGCAATTTTAAATAGGATAGTCTAGGAAAGCTGCACTGAAAGGTGACTTTGAGTGAAGTCTGCAAGCAAAAGGAGGCAGCCATGTGGCTGAGAGGGAAGTGCATTGCGGGCAGAGGGATCAGCCATTGGGAAGGCTGTGAGGCTGCAGCAGAGAAGGGAGGGGAGAGTGTGGGTGGTGATGGCGGAGAGCTGATGGGGTCAAATCAGGTAGGGCTTGGGAGGCCGGACTGGATGAGGACTTTGCTTTTACCCTGAGTGAGATGGAGCCAAGGATATGACCTGTGCGGGTGCTCACAGGCTCCCTCTGCCTGCCTGGAGGGAGCAGGGCAGAGCGACCAAGGAGGAGGCTGTTGCACTGGTCCAGGCAAGAGGTAGCATGGACAGGACCAGGTGGGGTGAAAAGAGGTTAGATTTGAGATTATTGTGATCCGCTGACAGCGCTTATCTGGGGTGTGAGAGAAGGAGAGGAGGCCAAGAAGACGCCCTGATTTTTGCAACTGGAAGGCAGTGGTGAGCCACGTTAGGATCTAGTCCTGGCACCAAGACCAGAAAGCCCAGGCTGACCCTGCCCTGTGTCCTCCCCTAGCCTTCCTGCTGTGGGACCTGGCCAAGGTGCCCCCACCACTTAAGGATGTGACCGATGACCACATCCGGATGCACAAGGTGCTGCAGGAATCTGGCCTGAAGTATGTGGCTGTGATGCCACCACACATAGGTAAGTGGGGTGGGGGGGACCCGGTGGCACTGAGGCCACCAGCCTGTTCCCTCCTGCCCTCTGGGGAGATCTGCAGGGCCTTCGCTGGCCACCCTAAAATTGCAAACCTTCCTGTGATATTGTGAAATATAGATTTGGTCTTCCTGCCCCAAATCCTGGCATACAACTCCCTTGGAATCTCCAAAGTGATAAGTGTCTTTTTGTATTCTAACGAGTTGACTGGTGGCTGGAAGCCCCTTGGTAGCTTCAGGATGGGGGCTGGTCACCAGAAAGACTGGGGCAGGTTTTGAGGGTTGGGACTCTTACCCCCAACCCACAACCCCAGGGGCCCAGAGGACCCAGGTGGTGTCATCTGCAGAACTGAT